AATTTTTAAAAATTTTAAAATATTTTTTTGACATTTATTTTGTCAAATTAGTTTATATTTTATCAAATTGATGATTTTTCCATTGAAATTAAGCAATGGTATGTTCAATTCTCCTTATTTAAAACAAAATTTAAAATTCAGGTTAAATGTGTCACAACTGAAAAGTCAGAGACTAAAGTGACATGAGTTCCAAACTATAGGAGCTATTAGTGTAATTCACCCTCTAAATAAATATATTTTTTAACTTTTAAAAAAATATACAAAATCTAAAAAAATAATATGACATAAAAATATTAAAAAAATAAAAAATACACTTTTTTATGCACCCAAACAACTTCATAAAATGCTAACGGTGATATTACATATATTAAACCACCCATTCGCTACCACCCACTATCCCGCCACCGTCACCCATCCACCCGCCACCACCCACCACCACCATCTACCCACCACCCACCGTCACCACTTTCCACCACCCTCTTCCGCCGCCACTTGCCATCACTTGTCGTTTTTCACTCTTTTTTATATTTTTAAATTTTTTTAAACATTTTGTTAATTACCAAATGCGTTTATAGTTTATGTTTTTCTAAAAATAAACAAAAACCAGTTTATAAAATTTTTGTAAATATAAACTGAAAATGTAAACGTTACCAAACACAGTGATTATACAGATATAACATCTGTATTGTTATAACGACTTGCTTATTTTCTTCTTCTCCTTTTTTGTCTGTTGTTGTTTCGTTGTATGTGTTCTTTTTGGAGTGGGGTTTAGGACTAGATGCTTACTTGTTTATGGATCATAACTCTACCCGGTTGTTCTAAAAGAACTGCTTATGTCTCTAGAAGTTCTGCATATATTTCATTTCATGTATCATACGAAAGGTTACTTCCTTTTTCTTTTTTCCTTTTTCTTTTTTCATATTATAACACTATCTTGGTTTTTTGCAAGTTCTATTGTCAAAATTTTAGCAACATGTTTTTTTACCTTATTGTTTGATTTGAAAAGGTTGCATTTTCAGATCTCAATAGTTTCCCATAAAATTGATTTTTAATTATCAACAGATCCTTTTTATAGTTTACACTCTCCAATACTCCTACTCCCGACCATGCTCTGATAATATAACTTAAGCTGACAACCTTGTCCTTCTCTCTGTAGCTGCCAATATTCATCTCTGTGTTTGCAGAACTTACTTTTGCTAGCTATAGAAGTTGGTTTTGCTTTGTGGTATCTATAATGGGATTGTTGCAATCAAAAATAGATCTCCATTTTATACTTGTGTTGGTTGTTGACTTAGTTCCTCCCTTCCAACTTGTTTCGAGTTATTTTTTGGTTTATTTCGTGGTCTAATCTGCCTGTTGCTGAACTTCACAATTTTTACAGTTCCCAAATGGGAACGGTGCGGTGTACTATAACTATTCTAAATTTTTACAGCATTAAGTACTTCACATCGATTAACCAATTAGTAGACTACATGGATGTATCGTCAACTTATTGAATGGTATTGCTAGCTATAAATTTTGAATACAGTTACTATTATACTAGAGACACATTCATTTGTAACTGAAATGACTAGCTTCTTGCATGGATTGATATTTGAATAAAATTTCAATCATAAATCACTTATGATTACTTTAATTTGTTGAAATTAGAAATAAAATTAAGCTCCAAGTTCAACCTAAACATATCAAGCATTGTCTTCACTTATACGTAACTGATACATGTCAAGGTATCTTCACTGAAATCCTTTTCTTTCTTTCTTTTTTCAACAATCCATCTCTACAGTTATTTGTTTACGATACAGTCAACAAGACCTTGTCGCCGAAACCTGGGGAGCAGCCCAAACTCCCTATCCCTGCCTCACTGGTTGCAGGAGCCTGTGCCGGAGTTAGCTCCACTCTAGTTACATATCCACTCGAGTTGGTCAAGACTCGGCTAACCATACAGGTAAATTCAATACCCATCTAACAATGTAGTTCAGTACCGGAACTGAAACTTTGAATGCAACAGATATCTATATTGAGTAGTTATGTTTAATATGCAGAGAGATGTTTATGATGGTCTATTTGATGCGTTTATAAAAATATTGCAAGAGGGGGGACCAGGAGAACTCTACAGAGGTCTCACCCCTAGTCTTATTGGGGTAATCCCATACGCTGCCACCAATTACTTTGCTTACGACACCTTACGGAAAGCGTACCGGAAAATTTTCAAGGAAGAGAAAATCGGAAACATAGAAACACTTCTGATCGGATCCGCTGCTGGTGCTATTTCAAGCAGTGCAACTTTCCCGCTTGAAGTGGCTCGGAAACAAATGCAAGTTGGAGCTGTTAGTGGGAGACAAGTGTACAAGAACGTGCTTCATGCTCTCGCTAGCATACTTGAACAAGAAGGAATTCAGGGTTTGTATAAAGGGCTTGGTCCCAGTTGCGTGAAGTTGGTGCCTGCGGCGGGGATTTCATTTATGTGCTATGAAGCTTGCAAGAGGATATTGGTAGAGAACGAGGAAGATGCATAGAAGAGATATTTCAAAAGAATAAATGAATTTGAGCATAGTTGAAAGGTACGATACAGTTACATTTACAAAGAGTTGATTTTATGTTGCGGTTTTTCTCTTGAATCTTTTTTGTTGGCATTTGGTTCATGAGCCTGGTTAATGGAATTGGAATCGATGCCTTTTAAGAATGGACTTAAAAGTGTTTTTTATTTTTGGGGTTGGAAACTGATCGGATTATACATTGGAGAGACTGATGATTAACCCAGTTGAGAAGGTTGTTCTATATGATAATTACCTTTCACTTTACAGTTTCAGTCTGATTATCATTCTAAGGGTATGATTTTGAGACTAATAGAATAGCAATTTCAAAGTTGTGGGACACCAACCTGCAAAATGATTTTTGAGACGACAGTATGAAATAATTTTCTCTTCAATTGATGTTTAGAGTTTCCATTGCTTTGGCCATATTGAGATGGTTGTTTGCTCGAACAACCATGTTTGATAATTCCTCTCTTTTTCTGTTTTTGTTATTGTTTTTTGTTTTTTGTTTTGAAATCCTTGTGGGGTTTAAAGTAGTAATAGATTAAAGCCCTTAGGAGAAAGTTGTTTTTCAGGGTAATTCTACAACGGGACCAAGTGAAAACCTCCTATATTCTGCCCTTGTAAAATAATAAATAAATAAAATGTTAACCCAACATATAATAGTGCTCATGAACTAAAGATTATATGAAATTTGAATTGGTTTACTTTTGATGCAGTGCTGTGAATCAACCAGGGTTAGTGTACACCGGTTAAGGAAGTTCTATGAATTTGAGAAACTGGAGCAAAGGATCTTCCACTAGTTCAGAAGTCAGAGATGAGATATTGGAGGAAACTAAACAGTGTGTGCAAGTGGTTTTTAGCAACGATCTGTTTAGCATCCTCCAATTCTCACATGACTCTTAACACAACTCAAGCACTGTGACTCTTGGACCAGTTGAGAAGTCGGAGATAAGATATTGGAGGAAACTAAACAATGTGCACAAGTGGATTTTTAGCAACAATCTGTTTAGTTCCCTCCAATTCTCACATACGACTCTTAGCAACACAACAAATCTTTGACCAGTTGAGAAGTTGGATATGAGATATTGGAGAAAACTAAACAATGTATGCAAATGGTTTTAGCAACAATTTGTTTAGCACCCTCCAATTCTCACATACGATTCTTAACAACTCCTTCAGAGAGAGGAGAGAGAAATGTTGGGGGACTTCTGTATGCAATTGAGGCTTCAATAGCGGCCAACTATATATAAGGCTTAGATCGTTCACTAAGAGAGATTACACATTTCAAATTCAGAGGAAAGCACAAATTGAATGACCCTATATGGTTACTGTACCACACAGCTCTCTCTCTCTCTCTCTCTCTCTCTCATATTGCATGATCCCATGTGCTTACTGTTGCACACAGCTAGCTCTCTTCCCTCTCACAGTGTCCAAATTCTTAAGAGGGTGATGTTTTCTGCAGTCCCTTCAGCTCTTTATTATGCATTTTAATGCACTTATTAAACCAAAGTACTTATGCAGAATAATAAAGGGGGAGAACTTAACTTTTGAAATAATCAACGTAAAAGAGTCATTCATGAATCAAACTTTACAAAATAATCCAAAGTAAACTCGGTCAGAGTCTAAGGGTTCGTTTGGCATAAAGGTTTGGGTTGAGTTGGGGCTATTTTAATTACAAAATAGATTAAAAAATTAATAAGATAAAATGTTATATTTAAATTATAATCACTTCATTTTTTCTCTTACAAAAGTTAAAAAAGTCAAAATTCATCACAAACGAAACTTTTTAACACCAGGTTAAAATAGTTAAAAAGTCAAAAAATCAACTTACATTCTAAACGAAAGTTAAAAATTAAAACTTTACAGATGTGACAATGGTAACCCACGTTTAGATGATTTTCTTTACGGTTTTTTATTTGTTGAGAACACCACATAGATAATCTCGAATATCGTGACTGTCTAATAATTTTTCCATAACGAGAGAGAGAGAGAGAGAGATTATGCAAGGAAAAACAAAAACTAGCTGAGCTTCACATCGATAACCTACATCTAGATATTATTTTGATTGTAAACAATTCAATACTTCACATTTGATGTAGGTCTCTGACTTCAGTGTGAATGCAACAATAATGGAAATTTCTTTCATACAATCCTTATAGTTTGGTTTAAGATTAATACGCAAGAGTCTCCCAAGGTAGGGTTGCAAATAAACTGAGTTATTCATAAACAAGTTTGATTCGGCTTGGCTTGTTTAACAAACGGGTCGAGTTCGAGTTCGAGTTCAAATATTAGACACGTTTAGTAAATGAGTCAAACTCAAGCTTGAATAAGCTTGGCTAAACGAGCTGAACTTGAGCTTGAATAAGCTCAATTCGTCAAGTTCGTCTCATTTATCTTTATTTAAATTATATAATAAATATATTACTTATATATTAAATAATATTTAAATAATAGTAAAAATACATTATTTATATATTAAATAATATTAATAATAATTTTATGTAAATAATATAAATAATACTAAAAAAATCTTATTGAGCCGAGTCGAGTTTGAGTTTAATTAATATTAACGAACCGAGCCGAGTTCAAGTCCAGTTACTTATTGAGCCAAGCTGGAGCTCAATAAACGAACTCGATAAACAAACAAGCCGAGCTTGAATTTAGCACAACTTGACTTAATTGACTCGTTTGCAACCGTACTCAAAGTTCACCCCAAAATTGGAACGCATATCTACTCACCAAATCATATAGGACCATCCTCTAGTAAATTCAATTTTAAGTAATGAAATTCACACTACACATTTTAACTTTTCACACAGTAAGAGTTTATTAATGGGTTGTTTGTTACCCCTAAATGACTTGCTTATAATTTATTTTAATTTAAAAGTTTATATCAGAATATTTAATGTAATTTTTGCTTACAGCCTATTAAACAGAAATATTTCTTTTTTTTTAAAAAAAAAAAGTATAACTAGTTTAAATAAGATTTGTTTTTTTTTTTTAAAAAAAAAGAGCTAATTATCTAAAAGCTAGAGAAAAAGTATTTTTAGTTTCTGATTTCTAATTATTAAATATTAGCTTATAATAAGTTGCACCAAATAAGGCCTGACACTGTTTGGATGGACGGGTTTGGTGAGAACAGAAAAGAAATAGTGAGAATATGAAACTCCTTTCACTTGTTTGAATGGTTGAATAGGTGAGAAATAATGAGAGATGATAAGAAAAATATTCTCATCCAACCTATATTTTGTTTTTCTCACCAAAAGTGATGAGATTTATGTTGTGTTTGGTTGAGGAATTTGAGAAGGGATTTAGAAAGAGAAATAAAAAAGGTAGGTGAATTATGAATAAAATATATCCACATTTTACCTAGTTTCACACACTTTTTCCTTTTCTCTTTTCAAATCCCTCCTCAAATCCCCCAACCAAACACAACATTAATGAAAAAAAATTTGGATTTAATAAAAGTTTTCTAAAACACGAAAATTACCTTTATGAAAAAACATAACTTACTAATATGGAAAGTTATTTTGATAAAATAAAATACAACATTGTCTTTTTCTTTTTTTTTATTTACTCTATCCAAACAATATAAGTGGAAAATCATATTTTATTCTCTTTTATTCTTCTTTTATTCATTCAAATATAATGATTAAAAATCATAATTATTTATTTTCTTCTCTCATCTAAATAAAATTTAAATAAGATTTGTTTTTTTTAAAAAAAAAAAAGCTAATTATCTAAAAGCTAGAGAAAAAGTATTTTTAGTTTCTGATTTCTAATTATTAAATATTAGCTTATAATAAGTTGCACCAAATAAGGCCTGACACTGTTTGGATGGACGGGTTTGGTGAGAACAGAAAAGAAATAGTGAGAATATGAAACTCCTTTCATTTGTTTGAATGGTTGAATAGGTGAGAAATAATGAGAGATGATAAGAAAAATATACTCATCCAACCTATATTTTGTTTTTCTCACCAAAAGTGATGAGATTTATGTTGTATTTGGTTAGGAAATTTGAAAAGGGATTTAGAAAGAGAAATGGAAAAGGTAGGTGAACTGTGAATAAAATATATCCACATTTCACCTAATTTCACACACTTTTTCCTTTTCTCTTTTCAAATCACTCCCCAAATCCCCCAACCAAACACAACATTAGTGAAAAAAAAATTGTATTTAATAAAAGTTTTCTAAAATACGAAAATTACCTTTATGAAAAAACATAACTTATTAATATGGAAAGTTATTTTGATAAAATAAAATACAACATTGTCTTTTTCTTTTTTTTTTATTTACTCTATCCAAACAATATAAGTGGAAAATCATATTTTATTCTCTTTTATTCTTCTTTTATTCATTCAAATATAATGATTAGAAATCATAATTATTTATTTTCTTCTCTCATCTAAATAAAAAATCACAATCATTTTTTTTCTCATCTCACACCACGCCATGCCACGATTCAAACGGAGGGTAAGTATCACCCTAGATGGGAGTAGGTTCCACCACTATCCCTTGGATGGTGTTGTGGTGAAAACTTCTAAAAGGGTATTAGAGATGATCAACATGCCAAGAAAATAACTCATTCATTAGCACAAGGTGAACCAGAAAAAAATATAATACTAATAATATATGGATCTGTAAAAAGAAATACAACCACAAAGTGTCTATAAATTAAATGAATAAATTATTTTTCCTATTTCCAAACAGAATTTGCTTCCACAAATAGTTCACATATGATCTTGACAAAAAATCATATCAAAACACACAACAAATACAGAAGAGAAAAAAGAAATACGAGGAAGGGACAAAAGAACAACAAAATTACACAAGGGCGGTCTCTCTAATCATCATCAAACACCCCACACCCTTTCAGACAAAGAACAACATTACAACATAACTTAGATCGTGTGCGTGCATTTGAATATCTTACTTTCTTGTTTATTTACAACGGGGCAAGCATGGCAACGAGAAATGAAGTGTACCAGATCAAAATGATCTTCCAAATAACTAGCAATTGATCCCACATTGACCTAGTGTAGCAGTTTTTGTGGCTTCGGAGGTAAAGGGATCGATCCTCACCCATAGCAAGGAGAATATAGAAGCAAGAAGTATGGACCAGACAATGACAATCGTTGGGGTACGATTTTGGCGACCCAACAAACCCTTGAGGAAGGGATACAAGTGAACGATGACCCAAATGGCAAAGAACAGCTTGCCGAATAAAGGGCCCCATGATTGATACCCACTGTTTATGGCATAGGAAACACCAGCCACTATACCCACCAAGTTAAAAATAAGGACTGTGGTGGGAGGGATGAGAAGAGACGTCCATTTGAACACGTAAAGCTCTGCGAAATCACCATCCTCATCAGATGCCTTTGAGGTGACAGTGAAGTTGGTATCGATCCCAGCAAGTACTTTCAAGAGCCCTTGGAAGACGGCAAAGAGATGAGCTGATGTACCACCAATCACCCAGAATTGTTCGTTTCTCCACCAGTCGTCGATTCCCACACCGCTCCACCTAAGCTCCAATATTCCAGTAGCAAAAATGGATGCGAAAAGAAGAATAAACCACATACTAGCATAGTTGCTGATCTGCCAAGAACAAAAGTAGTAACCAACTCGTTAAGAAAATCATTAACAAGTAGGGCATCAAAATAAATGCCGAGGGATACATGTAAGCAAAGGAAGCACATAACCGCATGTTCAGCATTCGCACATCATGTTATTTTAAGAAATAGGAATAAGTCTAATTTGTAATTCTCCCCATGTTTGTACATTCATTAGTTGAATTAGAAATATAACTGGAGAGATTTGGTCAGTTATATTCCAAACCAGTGTTACTTGAAAACACAGTTACTCCAGCGAATTACATTTGGAAACACACATTCCAAAACATGGAACACTTTAGTTCCAAAACGGCAAATTTAGCAATCCAAAGCGATCTCTCAAATTTTTTTCCCCAATATATTTTCTTAAGGTTTCCTTAGTAGTAAAAAATCAAATATAATAAACAAAAATCTACATTGAGTGAAGTTTTGACATGACGACATAAAAAATGAGTCATAATGCTCATAGAAATGTGTTGCTACATAATTAATTTATAAATAAAAGAAGAAAAAAAAAAAGAAGGAAAGAAAAAAATAACTTACATTTTATTGGATGTCTAATTGTTAAAAAAATAAAAATAAAAATAAAAATAAAATTACTCAAGATTAGAGGTACCTTAATAGCTTATACTGTAAATTATAAAAAAAACTGCCCTTATCATACGACAATTTACAGCATGCGGCATATTGCATTCCCGTTCCCATTCTACATACTAAAACAATTCACATTTCAAATACCATAGTTCCAAAAGTGTCTCCCTCTATACCAGTCCATTTGCATATACAAATAGATTTTCGCAGCAACTAACAAATGATAATTTGGTTCTTGAAAGGTGCATAAAGCATAATTGTTTACTTACCTCAGGAATGATGAATTTTCCGGTGAGAAGGCAAACAGCAGGAAGTACACAGTAAGCGAGGAGAGGGATAGAGGTGAGGGGATAAACAATGGTATTGATATATGCCAGCCTCTCCAAAAGCTTTAATCTCCCGCTGTACCCATACCATATAGGGCAATGTCTGCTCAGAAGAATCTCAATCGATCCCAGGGCCCACCGAAGAACTTGGTTCAAACGATCAGAAAGATTAATTGGAGCAGACCCCTTAAATGCAGGCCGAGGAGGCATGCAATAGATCGAAATCCATCCTCGTGCATGCATCTTGAATCCAGTCAAAATATCTTCTGTCACAGAACCATAGATCCATCCAATCTGATTGGAAGAGAGATGAAGAGAGAGGTTTGATTAGTTTCAATATTCAAAAAATAAAATAAAAATAAATCAGTAAAAGAAGCCTATTAGGTATGCTAAATGCAATTTTATCTTAATCTACCTCTTTGCCCCATTCACTTTTGTCTTCATAGCCACAGCTAATAACATGGATTGCTTCTTTTAAAAGAGTTGCGGGATTGGTTGTTGGTGGAATGCCACCTTGCTCCATAAAGGTTGCAGCAATAAAAACCGGAGATTGACCAAATCGCTTTTCTAAGCTCTTCTGAGACATCAAAAGTGACTTCTCCTCTTCATACGCTGCAGAATGAAAGGAATACAGTCAACTAAAAATTCACAGTTTCAAACGTTGGTCAAATTAGCAGGAATTCAATACCTAGAAAAGTTATAAATTGGATGAATTGGCTCAAAGTCAAAATCGCTTGTCTGAAACTTGCTGTCCTAAAGATTTTGTCAAATTTGGTGTCCTAAAGATTTTGTCAAATTAATGTTGGATAAAAATCTAGTCATCTTCATAACTGTCCAAAATCGAATAAGATGTGTAGAACTTGCCCTAAACTCCCCCTTTCATGTTCCTCCTTGCTTTCCATTAGGGCATTTGGTAGCATTCATGTATGATTGTATAATGTGTAGTCAAATTTGACCTCTTGTTGCCCGAGATTATTGTGTGTGAAGCATTATTGCTTAAAGAACCCTTTTCAATGTCACCAAAATTGAAAGGATTATTGCGAGTGCAAAGCATGTAAACTTAAAAAGAAAGGTTCAAAACTTTCTTATGAAGACCCACCTTCAACACCATCGTCAACGTCCTCCATATTGAAAATGGGAATGGTGGATTCTGTTCTCTTTGCCACTCTCTTTTTATCCATGTATTTCTTGTTGCCTCTTTTTTCCTTCTTCCTTGAACCACAACAACTCTTAACAATAATGTTCGGCTCCAAATCTTCCTCTGTTAGGACTGGATCGTACCCGTAAAGAGCTTGCCTGTTGAAACAACAACCAGTTCCCACGTAGACCGGACCCTGAATTCCATCCAGCCCTTTCAAGTTGATCTGTAAAATAGGACCAAACCAAAGATGAATTTAACAATTACAATAACACCACAATGTTAAGACAAATCATTTTTGTTGATGATAATTGATGACACATCAAGTGAAACCTACATCAAAAAAGACAATATTGCGATTAGCATATCGATCGTGCAAGTCAATGCCGTCAAACCGCTGTGGGAACTGCACATAGCAGGTTTTCTTTCCAAGATCAGGATCCATCATGAAACACATGGCTTCTTTAAGACATTTGCTGTTGTTGAAGTAGTGATCACAATCCACGTTCAAAAGATATGCTCCATTTGTCAGGACAGCCGAAACTCGAATCTGAAGAACACCAACCAATAGGAAAATAAACAGATAAGCTAAGTCATAACACTTCATTAATTAGAAAAACAAATGGAACAATTCATTAATTGTATTGCATGCATTTTTAAATTGCTAAGAATACAAAACAGGAGTGATGGGGATCACAAACCAAAGCATTCATTGCTCCGGCTTTCTTGTGATGTTGAAAGCCTGGACGCTTCTCACGAGAAACATAAACCAGCCGTGGTAGCTCATTCCCATCTGTATCAAGCCCCCCACTATGGCCTAAGAAAACCTGTCCACCCATAAAAAGCAATAAAGGAAATTTAAATAAATAAATAAATGTAGACAGAGGAGTGATTTCAAATACAGTAGGAAACAATAATAATACCTGGATCATTCCTGGGTGATCCCTAGGGTTATTTCCAGGCCAAGGAGTTCCATCTTGCATTGTCCAACCTTCTTCAGGCATCTTTTGTGCTTTGGCGACAAGTGCATTGGTTCTTACCTTGAATTCTTCATATTCCCTCTGTGGATCAAAATGTTTCTCATTTTAGTACAATAAATAAGAAGAAATAAATTTATTACGGCTACAACATTCATACAAGAAGGCAATCTCATTACTTTCAAATGAATTAATCTATCAAAACAACTCATGTTCAGATGACTCACACAACTTTCAACAGATGACCATCTCATACGATGACATTACAGTGTAATTATATGATAATCACTTTGAAGGAAGGGTTTGATTAATAGATGCCATAAAACAGGCAGCGAGTTGCAACATCGAGAAACCAGAAAAAAAAAAAGATTCATAAATAAAAGAATTTATATCAACATAATAAAGTATTTACTTGTTTTGGACAAACTTTATAAGTTAGACAAAAATGTTTTATATTCTCATCTTCCTATACATGTTCCATAGATAACTTCTAACAGGTCAAAAAGGTTCTTATAGTTAAGCTTCAAAATAAAAGGGCAGCGACCCATATCATGATTAAGAATCGAGAACATTAAAGTAGCACTTTATGATTTTTATTTTTATTTTTTTACTTGTATACTTCCAACTTCGAATGAAGTTTGTGGATGTTCAATTGGCAGATTAATTTTGGACTTTCTTTTGAAACAATTCATGTTCTAGTGTGTGGGATGTACCATTGCTATACTAGTATAAGGTTTCAAATGGAGGGTTGATGAACCTTGCAATTTATAAATACTGTATTATACAACAAGCCATGGTCCTTATTAATTCATGTTGTTAACCAAATGTTCTGTTGAGACCTCACCACTTGCAATTTTGAGAAACGCATTCAGCAGCTAATCCAACATCGCATTATGCAAGCAACACAAATAATCGCCACTTACCTTCATTGCCCTGCGCTCTTTCACAAAAGAAGGTTGTATCTTGTCCTTCAAGTAATCTATCTTTTGAGCAAAATAAAATTCAGGAGCCCTAGGCTCAATATTGTGCTTCTTGCAGAAGGGCACCCATCTCCTAGCAAACTCAGCCGTCTCAGAGAGAGCTTCAAAAGTTAACATTGCTGAACCATCATCTGAAACATAACAAGAGACTTTGTCGACGGGATAATCCACAGCAAGGATGGACAACACGGTGTTAGCTGTTACAATAGGAGGCTCTTTCAGCGGATCCACTGTACTGACAAATACATCAATTGGTGCTAATTGTGAAGGCTCCCCTTCCCTTTCAAATCTGAGGAAAAGAGAAAATATTTGTTGTATTTAGTATGGTAACAAATTAACTCCAAAGAAAGCCCTATGTGTTGAAACCTAAGACCTATGAAGCATGGGTGCTTCGACAAACAAACCGTACCCATGCTAGGTACTGGTACTGGTACTTTGCATGGCACTTCTGCATACATATTGGGTACACAAAACATACACCCAAACTTTTTCTTCTTTATTTTTTTCCGTACCCAAAGGTACCTAGTATATACCCAACCCATCCATCAGCCAGAATAGTATTTTCTTCTATACAAAGGCGAAATTAGTTTCATTGGACATTTTTTATGCTTAGCATGACTTTATAATTTAGCTTTGGTTTGTAAGTTATTTAATATAATGACATTTAATTTTGGTTTTATCTCACTTTTGGCATTAAATGTTAATTGTAGGTTTGATCTTAACTTTCTTAACCAACTAAACCATTTAACTAAGTTTTGCATTATTCCAAATTAAAAATATCTTTCTACATTCATACCAAACCGTACTTGTACCCTACTTTATTTAGATTTTACCGTACCAAACTAGTACTCATACATGTGCTTCATAACCCAACACCAATCACCCACCATTCTAAAAAGGATGTTTTACAAATAAAATAAATCCAACTGACCTCAAGGCAAGCCTGTCCAAGTAGGTCTCACGATTGATGGGTGACCATTTAGGAAACTGATCCAGAAGCCAGGATAATGCAAACCAAACCTCACAGATAACTGAAGTCAGCCACAATGGATAAGCATCCGTCACAGGATGAGTACAACGGTATTGCAAGAAAAAGCCCAAGATAATCAGCCGAAGTATGATAACTACACGATATGGGGTGAGTTGAGCAGAAGGAATAGGCACGATGCGGCTCAAAGGTTGGCTAGCATCATCAGCCCTGTGGCAAAAAGAATCTATCAACAATCTGGATAGATTCAGATACTAAAAGCTAACTTGAGCAAAACAATTCCATTTTCCTTCCATAGCATTTGACGGAAAATTTGTCTCGTGCTAAATCAAGTCATTACAAAAACAAGGTATGAAAATGGTGAAAAAAAATGAAGATGACACTTCACCAAAATTTAAACAAAATGTTAGAACATCACAATGTTTCTTAATCAAGATAATCTACTCCAAAGAAATAGAGTGGACATATTCTAAATGCTCTTCAAAAGAAATTATACCCTTTCCAAAAGTACATACAACAGGACGGAATAATTTCATTCTCACGTATCGTCAAATATTCATTCAGTCAGTGCAACTTTTTTAATATTTAGCGTAGCTACATGATAAAGAAAATATATGTCTAAGATGCTCACATTTGCAGTTCTTCTCCATTTGATCCTGTGCCTTCAATGTCTCCCTTCCCTCCTTCAGTATATTTGTTGGGCATTTGAATCGCATTTTTCTCTTGTTTGAGTTTCCAACCTTCTACCCTTTCCTTCCAGTCAACATTTTCAAGGCCATAAGCATTTAAATCCTTTGAAGGGTCCACAATTCTCACTGGAACTGAAGTGATATATGACATGGTGAGGTGACAGGCCAATAGAAACAAATAGACAAAGGTAGGCAGAATTTCGAATGAGTATCTAAAGTTAGGGGTTACCCGGTTGCCTTGGATCAATAAATTGAAGTGAATGACCGTGCTTGTCACTAGGGCCCAAAGGACCTGATGTAGTTCGTACAGACTGGTTGTCAGGAGTAGCACTTGGAATTTCACCAGATACCTGAAAAATATGTGATATTAATAATAATAATAAAAAGTTCTCAAATTTGAAGAGAAATCTTTCCTGATGTAAACAAGACAATTACTGAAGAAAATTGGAAAGATATAAAAAGAAACGACAAAATACTCTCATTTAAAAGTATTTTATGGCACTATACCATGACCACAATTCAGACAAGTCTAATCATGAAACTCATAAGTTAATATGCCCAATTAATAATTAATTCTCATTTTACTATCACTTGACTTGTAAACACACTCCAATTCCACAAAAGTGGTAGCAAAATCCAATCCACTAGACATTTAATAGTGTACTGCATAGCAAAATATTTCCGTCACATGTTATATTGCGACGATGAAGACAAACTCTTTCAAGCCCCCTACAAGTTTTTTTAGCAAATTAGATAGTAGTAGTCAAAAACCAATTAAGATAAGCTACGAAGAATTTTGTGCAGACTAGCAATCAAGACAAATACCCAAATTTTAAATAAATCTAATCAATATAGGTTTAGTATATTAAAAAGCCAAATTGTAAGTCTAGAAATGTAAAGAATAATTCAAGCATATTTATGCATCACAAATGGTTTTACATAAATTACCGGCTGCCCATTAGTGAGAAGGCGAATTGGTTGAGATTCATGTCTAGAAGATGAAGAGAGGTCAGCATCTTCTCCGTGCCATTGGCGTCTTGCAATGCTATTTCCTTGGGTATAATTAAACTCATTTTCGAGGTCATCAACATCATCCTCTTCATCATCTCCATCAACTCGAGGACTCCCTGATTAATACACACATTGCAATCAAATTTTCCAAATGTTTAATTGAAAACCATATTTATAAGATAGATTGAAAAGGACTACGAAGAATGAAGCTTACCTTTGTGTCTCTTATATCTGGTCTTGCACTGAGGACATGATTGATTTCCATCTTTTCGCTCATATTCATAACAAGGCCGGCAAACTGGGAAGGCACACTCATTGCAAGCAACAAAAGCATCACCGCTGGCTGTAACCCCCACCGTATCGCCACATATCTGACATATTTGGCCATTCAATTGATTCAGGGGCTTGGGCTGCATTATTCAAAAAATACTCCGATTAGATGAAGCAATGAATCTAACAAAAATAGATAAATAAAACACACACACGCATACACACACAAAATAAAACACACACACACAAAATGCAACCTACTTCTGGTCAAGTTTAATTAATATGCTCCATATTCAGAAATCAGGCTGTCTGTAATGATAGGCAATAATTGGCACATTCAGTTATTCTCAGATTCGTTACATCAAGTTTCATGGAGAAGAATGAGAATCCTAATGGGATTGAGGAATTGTTGACCAAAAAGCACTGTACTTAAAGGTTGTGTTTGGATCTTAGATTTGGCAAGGGATTTGTGAAGGGAAAGGAAGAGTGGAGAGAAATGTGAATGAAATATAAGCTAAGTTTATATCACTTTTCCTTTCCCTCACCAAATACTTGATCCAAACAATGCCTAAAAATCTGTAAACCAAAGAAAGAAGGAAACTGACTATTACAGAAGAATATATCTCAGGTAGAAACTCCCAAACATAGTTAATCTCACTGATCTGTGCAATCAATGTCTTAGCATCAGTCATTAAGCTAAGTGATTGGGTAAATAAATCAAGAAATCTGATATCAAAATCTCAGCTTTAGCTTGCAAACCTTTAGATTTTTTAAGAAATATACTACGAATTCAAGTTACTAAAACACACACACACACACACACACACACCAAACCAATAGTTTTCACAAGATCAGAGCTTCAACAAACCCAAATCTGAATTTCCTATGGAAAATTTACCTCACCCATTTTTAGAATCCAAAAAAAAAAAAAGAAAAAACAAAAACTCAGCACAAAACTCACCGACACACAACCAACACTGAAATCTAAACACAAGTGCAAACTCAGAAACATTGGAAATAACAGAGTCAAAATCAAAATTAAGCAATACCCATTTCCCAATTCCTCAAAGAGAACACAAAACTCAGTTCAACACTCACACTGGCACACACTTGGATCTGAACTCAAGCAATGAGATATTCTCAAAACCTCAAGTCAGAATCTACAAGTCCTTTTTCCACGAAAAGAACGCAATTTCAGCTAAAAAAAAAAGTACAGTAATACAAACTAACACTCAGATCTAAACTAAATAGAGCAATTTGAGAATGAAAATCCAAATGGGTATGACTAAAATACAAACCCCACTATCTGAATCGTGCCGAATCCGAACCAACTCATTCCTCTTGTACGATCCAGCCACCAGTCCAGCATTTGCTTCCATTTCTATTTCCAAGAAGCAAAGCAAACAAACAAATAAAAAACACTTCTTTAGGATAATTTGCAACCCAGATCTTGAAAATCAGACAAATGAAATGGGTTGGAGCTCAATAGGTGTGGATTTTGAGGAAAATGTGAAGATGGGCATCTCTAATTCTTCGCCCAAATCAATTGGCCATCTCTCTCCCTCTGTGTCGGTGTGTCTCTGCTTCTCCTTCCATTTGCTTGTCTTTTATCTTCTTTATTTTTCTTTTCTTTTTTTTTTGAATTATTTTAATTTGATAGTATTTGTTTCGTATAACGTAAGGATTTTTTACCGGGTGAACCGGTAACCAGAAACAAGCATCCACTCGGTGAAGTTGTGAAGAGTAGGGGTGTGCGCGGTGCGGGTCGGTGCGGTTTGAGAGAAAAATAGAAACCGTATGGCGGGTGGCGGATTGATAAAAGTGTCACTAGAATTTGTCATTTTTCTTATAAAAAACTAGCGGTTCGGTTGGCAAATAATGGCGGATTTGCCTTGGCGGTTCGGGCGGATTGGCGGTTTATCAAAAATATAATTCAAATTACAAAACTTAAATCAAAGAGTAAAAAAAAGACGAGAGATACCGTGATGTTAAGCATCTTGCGAAAATTTCTTCTGATGCAGCAAGTGTAGCAACAATATGATAATATCAACGACTATGCCATCAGTTCATTACAAGCATCTGTGAAAGCTACAATGATCAAATACAATACATAAAATTAATATCATTTAGGGTTTACAATATATTGAAAATGTTTACTGTTGAAAAGTATTTAGATTGAAAAGTGAGCTGATGCAAGTTTGCAACATGGCCAGGAAAAAAAAAAGAGTGAAAAGTGAATTGGAATCCAACTTTATTTTGAATTACCGACATCTTGAATTCCCCTCGAGCAGTAATGTAATACTATATTCTAAGGTATAGAACAATAAGCAAACTTAAGTAAAAAAGAATTTTTAGAATCTTTTAAAACATGATTTAATAGCGGTGCGGGTCGGTGCGGTTTGGAAGAAAAATAGAAACCGACGGATTGATAAAAGTGTCACTAGAATTTGCCATTTTTCTTACCAAAAACCGGCGGTTCGATTGACAAATAATAACGAATTTGCCTTGGCGGTGCGGTTCGGTGCGATTTTGACGGTTTCGGCGGTATTATGCACACCCCTAGTGAAGAGGAATATGTGGGTCACTGACTAGACTACTTCAGTGCCCGTGGACTGCAACGTGGCGCTTTACCCGTCAAAATTGATGCCAAAATTACAAATTAGTGATATTTGTAAAAAATAATTTTATAATTTTAACCCAAAGCCCTTGTTTGGATAAATTATTTTGATCTAAAAGTTAAAAAATTGTTATAAATTGTTATATTATATATAAATATTTTTTGTATGTCATTTGAAAAAGGTCAAAAAATAAATTAGAACAGTGAATTTTTAAATCACACTTAAATTGAATGAATAAAAGTAATTTTAAGAAGGTTATATTTTTTTCTTTAGATTCCTTACTTCTTCGTATTTCTCTATATTTTAATATAATTTTACATCATCAGGCAATTATAATTTTATTATATCTCTTACTTTTCAAAATCTTAACCTTAACCATTTCTTCACCCCTATCTATTCATAAAAATGAAAACTAAAGTCTTGTTTGGTTTGTTTTTTTAAAAAAAAATTGAAAAAAATTCTCTACAAACAAATTTTCAAGAGTAATTAAACCAAATAAATTTTTTCAAAAAAAATCTCAAAATTTTGTTTGGTTACCTACTTTTCAAAATCATTTTTTCAAAAAAAATCTCAAAATTTTGTTTGGTTACCTACTTTTCAAAATCACTCTCTCTCTCATACACATCAAATCAATCACTTTTTTAAAACTCTCTCTCTCAAAATAATTTTCCAAAACCATTTTTGAAAAAAAACAAACCAAACAAGTTTTCGTACTTTTTATCTTAAAAACTACTCTACAAACACAAACCAAACACACCCCAAGTATTTGTTTTGGGACTTAATTATTTTTTGTTTCCAAATAAAATAAAATAATTTTTAAAATTTATTAAATTCTGTGAAACAGAAAAAGGAAAAGATATTTTTTCTTGTTTTGTAAACATTTTTTATTTCTTTTTCTCTAAACTAGCTACTCTCACCTCCGATCACCATTGTTGGTGATCACCTTCGACGAACCTCCGGGTCTTTGGCAACCAAAAATCATGTTCGACAAGTCTAAATTATCTTCATCCACCAACTATCCCTCCAATCATTATTATCAATTGTTTAAAAATAATATGTATACCAAACATATTTGTTTTTTTATATATATTTTCATATTTTCTCTAAATAAAAACTAGTAAACATTAAAGGTTGGTTTGGAGTGTCCTAAAAAAGTACACTTTTGTCTTTTTACGAAAAGATGTGTAAAAAAATAGAGAGGTGATGTGATGGAAAAAAGATAAAAAGATAGATTATATAGGTTATGCCAAACCAAGCCTAAGAAACGGAAGCAAGAAATAAAACCAATCCAAGAGCTTACTATTATTATACAAATATTTTTTCTTAATCTAAACAAGACCACGACATATCACATGTTAAGCCACATAAAACTACAGTAGAGCTTACTATTATTACATCAAAGCTTCTTAGCAACAGCCTGTACTATATGCAAATGTTACCTGCTGTTGCCAGTTGCTCTCTTCTCAGACAACTCCACTAGCTGTCGGTGTCCTCAATTTGTGACCTACTGGTTGTTTTCAGCATGCAAATTTCTTTATTTATTTATTTTATTTTTTTTCTTTTGGTCATGTTTTTCAGATATGCACTTGAGTTTTCTCTAAATCACAAGCATGGCCTTTTACCCTATCTACGGATCTCTCCATACAGGGCCTTCTATAAAAAGTTTTCTCTAATAAAAAGGCCACCTCCGGCAACTTTTTCAGCACTGGTGAATTTTACAACGATTGATAATTTGATGGCACTCCGGTGATGGTGGGTTAAAAATAAAAATAAAAATAAAAAAATCTTTCAAAATAATAATTCACTATTCTTACCAAATAATTTCATTAATTATATCATTACAATCAAAACAAAATAATTTTTAAATCTAATGGTATACACACCCATAAAAATATATTTTTTACTAATTTTTTCAATAAAAAAGGGAGTTATTGATATTGAAAATGATGAGATCTAGCCTAGGGTTTTCAATTTTCTGTCACAAAACACTACTCATGTCAAATAGATTTTCAATAGACTTTTGTGGTTTTTTCACTTCCAAATGGGGGATTTTTGTACAATTAGTTAGTTAAGTGTTAGTGTATGACTTTGAAGTTTGAAAAATGTGGGGAATTGGTAAGTGTTAGGTTGATGGTCTGTTTCATCCCAACTGGTTTGTATGAGAGCTGGCTTTGGCATCTCATAAAACTCCAATAATGGAAACAATCACCAAACCAATATTTATGGGAAGAGAGAGGTTCTATTGTTCCTGTGGTAGGGGTGAGCAGCGGATATACCGATCTGTCAAAACCGACTGAACCGAACCGATCCGTCGCATTTTGGACGGATGCGTAATGACGAGCGGACGGTTGCGGATTGATTTTCTCCAATCCGCCAATTTGGCAGACGGATGGCAGATTTGAGATTTTGTGGCCGCAACCGAACCGCCAAACCGCCAAATCGTGAGCACCCCTAGTAATTTATAAGACTTTGTATTTTTAATTTGTTTAAATATTATGTTTGTGTTTTCAATTGAAAAAGAGTTTAAATATTCTGTTGAAAAAAAGTTTTCAACTTGAATATATTTTTTGAATTGAGAAAAATAAACGTATTATTCATCTATATTTTTTAGTTTTTAAATCTAACTCTAAAAATAATAAATAGAAAATATGATATATGCTGGTTGGTTTTTGTTTTCAAAAACATATGTAGATATAACAATACAGAGACATACAATCTCTACTACTGCTCTGTTCAAATATGAACACGTTTGAATTGTTATTATATTTTAAGAACCACAAATTGTAATACTTCCGCCAAACCGCCAATCCGCTCAATCCACATCCGCCGGATTGACCGAGCGACCAGATTGATTTTTTTTCAATCCGCCAATCTAGTGGATGGATGGCGGATTGGAGGTTCTGTGACCGCAACCGACCCGCACCCACCCCTAGAGAGTGGTATTGTGCGGGTTATATGGGATAATTTAAATAAGTATATTTTTTAATTTTTTAAAGAAATATATATATATATATATATATATATATATATATGTGCGTGTGTGTGTGTAAAATAGTAGAGAGATAATGTGACTGAAAAAAGATAAAAAATAAAAAAAATGCACTTTTGTAGTGCACCCCAAATACCCTCTTAGATTAACAAACTAATTGAAGGGTCCATCGTAAACTCATTTTTATAATTTGAATTGTTAATTTTTCATATCAAAAATAATAATAATTAAATTGATCCATAACATGATTATATCATATTTATTATAAAAAAAATTAAACGAATTATTTTTAAAGTCACATTTGTTGTCTTTTTTTCTTAAAAACAAACATAATTCAATCATCCAGTTATGCAGTTAAGTTACTGATATATCATCAACTTAATGTTTTAGATAAATAATATATTCATTATATTTTATAACATAAACAATTTGAATAATAAAAATAGATACAAGATGATCTACCGAAAGACAACACTTCCTACAATCCCCCTCCAATATTTATAGATTTTCTTTTTGTCATGTAATTGCCATGTGCTAGAGGCGGTCTTCACTATGCTTAAACAAATGTTAAATTTCTTTTAGGTTTGTTTTTTGGCTGTTATATTTCGTTTTTCTTAGATTTTTATAGATTCTGAGAATTTTATTTTTAACCACCTTCATCCTTGTTTATATGTTGCATAAATTGGAAATAAAAAATATGTGGTGTGAACCATTAGAAAGCAAAGAGTTTAAGATGGAGTAAAGTGATGCGATCATCATTAATAAAAATAGAGAAAATTCTATTCAAGTGTAATTTTAAAAAATATTTACATATTAATAATAAACTTTACAACATCAAAAATAATTTTATAAAAATTTTCCATGCATTTGAAATTATTTTTTAACTTTATTTCTGAACTGTTATTTCCCCATAAAAATATTAGATGAAATGAAAGACTTAAGCTAGTACAACACATTAATAATATAATAAATTTATTTAATTTAAATGAGTATACAACTTTCACAAAGTGGA